CAGCAGTACCTTCAATTGTCTTTAAAGTTCTGTAGTATTGCTTTCCTAAGCCAAAAGACTATTGAGTAAAGGCTACCGGGCTCCTTTAGTCATTTAGTGACAGAAGAGGAGTGAGAAGAAAGAGCAAGGATACAGATTTTAAATAAGTCAAGTTGAAGGAAGGGATTTCACTGCACTCATAAGAACCCTTTATTTAGCTTGAGCAGGCCTGGTTAATGAAGAGAATTGATTAAGTCTGCACTGGGAGAGAAGTTAGCACAGGCGGTTGGGGAGATATAGAAGGAAACAATGAACGGATGCCAGAAACAGATTTCATAGTTTGGAGAAAGTACTCCCATTTAAGCAGTATACATCTACAAAATGCTCTGTGAGGATCTAAGGTCCTTTGATATCCTTGAAGCAACTCGAGTGAAAAGGACTGAACTCTGGATCTTTTATGTGTGTTTTATTGTATCTATGGAAAAAAACAGAGAGAGAGCAACAGTAGAACGATGCCTTAGTGTGTGTCAGTGCTGAAAGTGATGGGTGGTGTGTTTTATGAGTAAATTGAAGGGTCTCTTAAAAGGAGAGAGATGAGCCCTTCTTACAGTGTGTAGATGTGTGTGCGTGTCTCTGTTTGCTCTCCCTCAGCATCAGTCTCTTCTGCTTGATTTCTGTGCTCTCCTCCCTGCCTCTCCTCTGCTCACTATGCCGTGAAATGGTTTTTCACTAGACCATTACCCCTACCAGGGCACGGCTGTGCTGCCACAGGACTCTGTGAGTGAGAGGGAAAGTGTTAAGGTGAGTGTGTGTTTTCCTGGGGAGAGGGAATGATGTGCGCCTTTCTGTAGCTGCACTTGAAACAGAAAGATTATAATTTTGTTTTGGGGATTTTTTTTTCTTTCTTCAGTTTGTGCTGAAGATGAGTTGTGTAAACCTACCAGTAGGTACAGTAAGTGTTTGTATCTGGATGCATGTAAAGAAATATGTCTCTTTGCACAGTGCTTAAAAATATATATTAATGCTTATACATTCATGTTTTAACATTTTATAGTCCAACTAAGAAAAGTTAAAAGACATAAAAATACATGGTCTTCTTTTTTTCTTTTCTTTTTTTTTTTTTGCCTATAAAAATCTTAAAAGTGCGGTACACATTTTTATTTAGCTCCTTTTACACAAGTCCTTTACTGTACATAAATCTTGTAATTAGAAAATAAGCGTAGATGTTCAGTTAGATTGTCATATTTCTAGAAAGCATTAATAAACAAGCAGCATCATGACGACTACACAACGCAGCTGAAAAACCAAGGTCAAACTGTTGAAACGTTCAAAGCATTTAGTTGGTAGTCAACAGTCCCATCTACAGTTAATAAGATATCATATAGGAGATGCAGAGATCGTCAATTCCTCTGAGAGAATATGTTGCCAGGACAACTATTATTCATGCACTCTAAATAGTCTTATTCAACACTCATGAATAATGGAAAAAATTTAAAAGTCCTCCCTGAACACTAAAGGAAACATCTCTAAAAATCAATGTGTTCAGTCCAACTTTTTGGCTTATAAACAACCCCAACAGTCAAACATGGTGGTGGCAACATAAGGCCTTTCTTTAGCAGGCAGGGAATTTAGTTCACCAACCAACATCTACGGGTCAGTTTTTTCCACTAATAAGTACTTAATAAATTAGCCTTTTACCAATGTTAATCACGTTTCTGTTTAAATATCTCCTTTATTTTCCTTTTTCTTCTGCTTTTGCTTCACCTCGTAATTTCTCACAGCCTCTACATGATGCAAGTCCTTCCTCCACACATCGTTCCCCATCTCAAGCTCCCCCTTTAACATCTTGTTTAAATTCTGCTGTTAATATCATTTCCACCTCCCCACTCTGCCGCCCTTGTCTTCACCTCATTCTCTCTTGTTTTATAAGTCACCTCTCATCTCCTTTTACTCCCTTTGCTCCTCCTGAACAACTTCATAATTTCCCTCCTCCTCAGTAAGTCATTTACTCTGGTCTCATTCACTCCATCTCTCTTTCCTCTGTTCTTCTCCATTTAATGCCTTTTCATTTCTGAGCTCCATACCTCTGTTCGCTCTTAATATCCCGCAGTTTCTTTACCTGAGATATTGAAGCCATAAAGACAGGTGTTCAAAAGAAAGCAGGGCCAGCAAATCTGATTTATATGCCTCCCAGCATCATTCCCCTGAATACAGATAGACGAGGAAAGGCAAAGAGGGGGAGCAAATAGCTTTGCTCTTTGATATCGAAATCTCAGCATGTTGTGAAAGAAGAAGCACCAAGCTTTCTTAGAAACCTCCAACCTTTTGTCTCCATCACACCTCACCTCATATGGTGTACCCTTGAATATATTTCCCCCTGTTCTTCTTTCTTGTGCATTTTTTAAATTGCCAAACAAAAGTAGTTAATTAAGTTGCAACATCAAGCTTCACTTGATTGTAATTGGTCAATGCAAAGTATCTTACAATTATAAAGTGAAAGGAAAGTGGTGTGTTATTTTCACTAGTTTTTGTTTTAGAAGTTAAAATCTATAAAATGTGGTGTGTATGTTTATTCTAAAACCCCGAAACATAACCAAGTACAATTATTTGCTTTAAGGAATCTAGGTAGGTGTCTCTTCATCTCAGTATAAATCTAGCCGATCTGTGAAAGTCTCAGAGGTTGAATTAGACCTGCATCATGAAGAACAAGGAATATAGCCAACTGGTCAGGATCAAAGTTGTGTAAAAGTCTCAAGCAGAGTCAAGATATAACATAATATGCAAGGTGTTGAACATCAAAGCCATGGCAAAGCCGCAAGGATTCCTGTTCGAGGCTTTTAAACAAAACACTACATTTTGGAATAAAAAACCTTACGTTCCACTGAGCAAACTATCTTCATGGTGGTACATGGTGGTGGCAGCATTGAGGTTGGGGTGTGCTAGACCCATGTACAATCCGCACAGAAAATGAGCTTTCTCTCATGATGTCCACAACATTTATCTCGGAACGGGGAGAAGAATCTCTTTGGTTCTTCCCCCATCCTGGCTGGCTCCAGGGGGTTGTTTACAGGACAAACTGAAAGCTGCCAACTCCACACAAAAGAAAGTAGAAAACACAGCTGTTTACAACTTTTTCTAAGCTTTATCATGCAGGGGTTTTTCCCACAATCTGTTGACAGTCCTGATATTTATGGACTGAATTATGGGATGTCCCTACAGCCATTATCCCACTGAAAACCTAGGTTTTTCAAAACCGGGTTAACCCTCTAACAATTGGATTTTGGCTCTTTTCCCATTTGAGCTAAAAGCCGAGTTCTACCACCTGCTGGCAAGCTGCGTGGTCACTGTCCCCCACCACCGCATATCTGATGACAGCATCAAGCTGGGTGAGTGCTGATGATGTCAACAATGTGACAGAAATCAGGGAAGTAAATGATGGAGAGCAACATGGATAGGAGCCACAGTGCGATGTTCCCACAGCTAGCCAATCAGAGCCGAGGCGATTTTAATGCAAGTCGCATGCTGAGTCGTTTGACCCGGGTAGACAAGCATCAGGGAGCTGTTCCCACTGCTACTAAAACCCGATCATTCCCTGGTATAAACGGGTTTTTCGTCCAGTGTTAAGGGGTATAGGTGTGTACATTCGCAAAGCCTCGTCAGTTGCAGCTGCTGCTTACTCACAATGTATTTTAACATGGATATGTCCGAGTACTTAAATTTTTTTTTAGGTGTGTGGGGTAGAAAATGTAACTGCATTAATGCAGAACGGAGAGGAGTGTGAGCCAAAATTAAAGTCTTTTGGCAACGCAGTTCTCGCAGACGTGTTTAGCATAAACATTCTAGAGTTGAAAGAACATGGGGCTGCATACAGGTCAAAACATTGCAACCTCTGTCGGTAAACATGTTACACTAAGGAAGCGATTTACTTGACAACAGGACAACAATCCAAAAAAACACAGCCAGTGGTTCAGTAGAACGGTTCAAAGCCATGCACATTCGTCACTTAGAACAGAAGCATCATGAAAGCCCAGACCTGTTTCTAGATTAGCAAAACTTGCCCCAAATATTTGTAGCTGAAAACTGAGATGGCCCAACAAGGGGGTGTAAGGCATGTCATACACTTCTAACTTGTATAAGTGCAGTATTTGAAAAATCATATCTATTCTTCCACTTCACAGTAAAAAAATATATATAATTTCAGTGTTTCTGATTGCAGACATTTAATATTACAAAATGTAAATAAATTAATGTGCTAAGTTCTGTCAGTGAAACCTTTCTTTAACAAAATATTAATAGACATTTTATTTAAAAACACAGTTTTACTTCCAGAAAACCAAAACTAAAATAAATTTAATGAACATCAAAGCTTTTGTCTATGTCTGTGTGAGTATATCTCCAGATAAAATATGTTGATGTTTGGGTTTTAGACGACTTCATTGGAAGCGCTGTGGCAGCTGAAACCTCCTTGGTGAATAGACCAGAATATACTCTGAGAGAAGGAATGTGTTTATATGAGAGGAATATGTGAAAAAGGAGAAAACAAGATGATGAGGGTTAAAGTGAGAACCAGTGAGAAGAGGAGCTGGGACAGATTGAACTGTCAGCAGTTTGGATTAATCTCCCTTTTTCTTTCAATATGAAGATGAGATGCAGTTTTCTTCATGTGAAACTGAGGGTATGCCTTTGGATGTGTGTGTGAGAGACAAAATATTTTGAAGTAACCTAACCTTGGATGGAGACCCTTTCTACCCCCCATCCTCTCTCAACCCAACAAACTTCAGAGAACCTAAATCCCTATGAACTGGTCTTTGTTGGTTCTAAATCAGCACAGTATCACAAACATGCCCAACACAGAGAGAAAGGGGATTAAGGGTTTTCCACCAGACATGCTTTAACTCCGTTTTAAAGTTCCTTTTTTTTCCCCAAAAAAATGTAGGCTTTAATGTAAGATGCTGTTCTGGCAAGATGAAATAAGTTTAGACTCTAACCACTGCCCCATACTGTTGTTATTTTGTCCTTAGATACCAGGAAGAGGGACAGATCCACGTCTGACACCAAGATATGAAGAGGTGGAACGTCAGTATGCATCCTTACCAAGGTACAACACCCTCTGTCTGCGTGAAGCTTTAGAAACCATCTCTGTTCTGTTTTCTTTTCTTCCTCTAATTAACTCCTCAGTTACTATGTTTTCCCCAAATGTCTCTGGAGGCCTTGTCTCGCATAGGAACTCACCTTACCTTTGCTCTGGGGAAAACCGTCTGGGACAAGGCCGAAAACTGATCCTCCTAAGTCTGCTCCCCCACAACAGTTGTTTTCAAATCCCCTCCTAAATGCTGAAGGCTTTTTGAATGGCTTTTCTTAGAAAGTAAATAAGCTTAACTGTAGTTTGCTTTTTGGTGTATTTTTGGAAAGAAATAGCTAAATTAGCTTTTAGCCATAAATGGTGTAAATGGGCAGCAGTAATTAGGGACACGTTGATGGTTTGCCCTAGCAGAGAGACTATCAGTCTGTCTAAAAAGTTTATTCTGCTGCTTTATGCTTTTGCACAGATAAATACGGTTTTTATTCCTCCCTGTTCTTAAATTTTACAAACTAGATGTTATGTTTGTCTTTTAAATCATTTTTAATTCTTCATCTGTTTTTCTGTTAATGAAAAATTGTTAGTTATAAAGTTATATTTTTGGCTAAAGACTTCCTTTTTAATTCAAATTTCAATTCTGTACTTTTCAGTTTCCAGACAGGTGGAATTGATGGAAATCTATTAATAAATCTTGTTTTGCATCAATTCCATGTTACCTTTTTTCAGGCTCTTTTTTTCCTTCTAGGGTAACTGATTTTTTATCATTTTTCCGCTGTTAATGGATTGCCACAGTTTGATGTTAGAGACTTGCAGTGTCAGAAAACCAGCATTCAGTCTCTGTTTAGCGTTTTTTTAGCCCAATTTGCTTCTTATCTTCTCTCTCTTCCAAAGTTATTCTCTGTATTATCTTCCCTAATATTCTCAGATGTTATTGTTTTTTGGTCCTTTAACTTCTTGGTTCTCCAGTATTTGCTCTCAACCTCTGTGATATCTTGCATTGTGACACGTATCCTATGTTTTTCCTGTTTTTGGGGGGTTGCAATTTTTTGAAGCCGAATGTGGTTATGCTTTTAAACTATCTCTTAACACCCTCAAAACTTGCAAGCTTGCAATCAAGGGACACAAGAGCCGTAACAGAAAGAAAGAAGTGTTTCTGTTCCTCTTTTCACTTTGTCGTTTTTGCTGCTAACCAACACCTCTGCAGACTAACAGATGTTGGCCGTTGTTTGTGTCTGTCAGTAAGAGTGAGTTGGCAGGTTGGGCTTGAGAACAGAACTCAAGAACATTAAAAGTTTTATTGCCAGGTTCCCAACCCTGTTAAAACAGTGTAGGATGGGTATTTCACACCTCTTTTTATCAGTGTTTGTGTCTGTGTATGTGTCTAAGATAAAAAGGGAGGGTGTCTGTGCTTGGGTGATGGCTTCGGCAGATGGGGGTTAGAGCAGTGATGATAGTTTTGACGTCTGGCTTTGGTATCTGGAGAAATTGGACACATTTGCACTCACTGGCATACTTTACATCCTGCGTTTCTGTTTCCACTCAGGAGCTTGTGCTGGTATTTCTACATGCTCCACCAAATCCACATTTATGTTTCGTCACTTGGTTTATGATGCCGATCTGAAGAGAGAATTTTCCCATGAATGTATATAAAATAGTTCGGTTTAAAGAGAAAATCATGAAATTGATCTCACATCTAAAACAGAAAATAAGACAGCAGTTCACAGACTTAGTGTCTCTGCTGCCAAGTTTCAGATGCCAGATCATTTTTGCAAGCATTGCACTTCTGTTTATTTCTTCACACCCGCATGAAGGCAAGAGCGTTCACTAAATATTCAATTCAATCTGTGCATACAGACCCCAGTGAACAAAAAAAAATCACGGAGATGAAGAAATGGACAAGACTGTAAGGACATAAAAAGGTTTAAATTATAAAACAATATTGCAAAATTTAAACATCACTCAGTGTCACATGTATAGTCATTTAGAGTAAACTGATTCTGCATTATACAGTAACAGCCAATAAAGACTCTCTACTTGACTGTCCTGAACTCCTTAGTTCATTTAATATTCCTTTTTAATTGGAAAATAATACATTTATAACATATGGATTTGGCCTTCCATTATACAGCCATCTCCTCAGTTTTTTCAATTCAGTTCATTTCCATAGCGCCAATGTACAAAAGGCCATCTCAGGGCACTTCATAGAGACAATTCAACCAGATCATAGGGTGAGATTGGTGTAAAGTTTTCTAAGGAAAACCATCTGATTGCATCGACTTATTGACTTTGCCCTTAACTAACTGTTTATAGCTAAAGAGCATTAATCTAGAAGGATCTGCAGAGAACCGGATCTCAGGTAGGAGAATCAGTCAACTGGACATCCATCAGTTGGAACATCTATAAATCTACACTTCATGTAAGAGTAACAAAGAAAAACAGAAGCCAGCCAGAAGAAGTCAATAGACTGCATGTGGAGGAAAACTAATGTTGGTTATCAGCTTTAACCAGCAGCTTCATACTTAAGGGGAAGCTTTCTCTGAGCTGGGAAAGATAGGCTAATCAGAGTGGACAGGTAGATAGATGCAGCCAAATTCATGGAAAACTTGGAATAAAACCTGTTAGAGGCTGCAAAGGATTTGAGAGCAAGATTGAGGCGCACCTCAGAGCAGAGCTAAACCTAAGAATTAAGAACAAAGCATATTATCGTCTTAGAATGGTGAGTATCGTATGTGACCAGACTAAAATTAATGTCAACAGATACTCTCTAGCTAAGCTAGTCCTTTTTCAAAGAACAGGCATTTTTTTAAGGTCTCACATTTTCAGAGCTGGCATTACCACATCTAATAGGAACTGTATCTGTAATTGCAGTGAAGGGGAAAAGTAAACCCAAATATCAAGTTGCTTTTCTTGTCTTCTGTTAGTTGAAATATTAATTATTACAGTATCCAAATCAGGCACAGAAGTAAAAACATTTTTTGTAACCACATCCAGGCTGCTGACGTTATGAACACATTATTTTTCCACCTGACTAAGGTAGAAATAGCCCAAAGGCCATGTGTATCTAGTGTCCACATGTATACCTGTGTATTTTATGAGTGCCTTTCAGGTCCATGTTTCATAGTTGCTGTATTAAGCGTTTCTATTATTTTTCCAAAGTAGTCCTCAAATAGCTTTTGGGCGAATAAATCAGATCCCGCACGTTTGACTGAACATTATTTAACTGGAATATTGAGTAGATTGAGTGAGTTACATGTGAATTGGTCTTTGCCTCTGAGTGTGTGTGTCTCTGGGAGACAAGGTTTTGATGGCTCTAAAATTAAAACATGACCCTGCAGTGGATGAGGTTTCCCTGCCTAAAGCACAAGTGCTTCGCCACATAAACTGTCAGCAAATGTCACTGCTTGAAATAGATAGGTCGTCTGTTTCAGGGTAAACTGAATATTTTGCTTCCCTATAAAACTCAACTCCCATTAAGAAAATAAAATAGTCATTGTAAAATGGGCGCAGTGATATATCAAAAACAGCTGGAATAAAGCAACTGGAATGATAAACATTTGGAAGACGAATTCACAAAATGTTGTATTACTTTTACTATTAAAAAGTAGTAAGAATAGCTCTATGTTTTTCAGGTAGTTTAGTTTATTTATATACATTCCTCTTCTTAAAGCACTTAACAACTGTTAGGGGACCATTTTTTATGTTATCATTTCTTTTAAAGGGTAGCATAATAATCAATGAACTGAACAGAGTAGTGTTGAGCTTCAGCTGTGTCACCAGACAAGTCAATAAATATCCACCCTGGTTAGCAAGATTATCAGCCCACCTCTGCGTCAAATGCATTTGTGACACTCCCCCGATGCACGTCTGAGTTCAGTGTGCACAAGTGTCCAATTTGAGGCACAGGACTTCTTTTTGACACTCAAAACAAATAACTTTTCCCTAAAATTAGCATACAACATAAAAAAAAAATGTGAACAAGTCTTTTTAGATTGTTGTTTGGATTTTGTAAGTGTCATTGTAAGCACTAGTGGGGTGATCCATGATAAGTGTGATGTTCTAACAATAAGACAGAATTGTATCTAGGGATAGGAATCGAAAACCGGTTCCTGTTCAGAACCAGTTCCGTGTGTTCTAATTCCATGGCACCATTTGGCTGCTCGCTTAACGATTCTCTTAACGGTTCCAGGAACCACCAAAGCCTAGCACTGGGCAGCACGACTTAGGTCACTTTTTTACGCAAGTTATGCACACGGCATTCAGTAAGCAAGTATGACGTGACCAGGCTTAAGTCTAGAAAGCAAAACAAAAAAAATCGCGTCCCATCAGGTAAATCGCACACAACATGGCATACATTTTAACGAATGCCGTGTTTTTGATGCCTTCCGACAGAAGCTAAAGTTACGACCAGCATGGATCGCATGGATCTCCCTAATTTCTACCATTTTCCCAGACTTCTCCCTCTCTATTCTGGAACAAAGAAGCCTGTTGAGTTAGAGAGTCTCTTATACCTTTGGCTTTATGATAAGCAGAAACATTTAAATCCATTTGCAGTAGTTTGTTTAGAAATAAGTATGAGTTTATATTATTATCTTTACTATCTAGATTTTATATTTTCTATCGTAGATGTCATACAGATAGTTCTACAACCAATTTGCGAATCTGTAACTAATGAGAGAGGAAAACTCTTTTTTAGCGTTTAAGATGTTAATTTATTTTTTAAACCTTAAAAAGCTGTTTGTATAAAAGTATATTTGTTTTAAATAACCTCAGTGACCAAGAATGTGCATGCCCATCTTGATAATGAGCAGTGTGTGTCAGAGAGTGTATATGTGTGTGTGTCCCCGCACTGTTTTATTTCAATTATTCTGGGGTCAGTTGATGGCCATCAGAGTTTGTGTATGGCTTACATTAGCAGGTTATGCCCCATGTGTGCCTCCTTCATGACCCATTTGCACGTTCTTTGTGTCAAACACACACACACACCCGTTATTGTCTTCATTACATCGCAATGCAGGGAG